CTCGTAGGTACATGGCGTATGAGTAACATTATATTTCATAAAAAAAAATCATTGTATCGACCAATCGATTACGCGAAAGTGATATGCCGCGGCGCAGTACTTCCCACTGCAATTATATAGAGAATTTATTCCTCTACACTGTGGTATAATTATCTTTTTGATGAATGTATTTAATTTGAAGCAGGCAAAGTTCTTGACGTTGAATTGGACAATATTTGTTAGTTTTTCATATATTTAAAAATTTATAAAAATCATAATAATTAAAAAATTATATATACTATTTTAACCCTCCGAATGTCAATTACTCTCTTCGGGAAAACTATTGGAATAAATGGGAAGGTTCAGAAGGGCAACAGGTGAGCACAACCGTTGCTAACAAAATCAGTTATCGTTATAGGCGGCATACACAGTGCGTCTGACTCGCGAGTCGGTTTGGATGTATTTGTGAAAATAAATACATATGAAAATATAGTTCATTCTATAACATTAAACATATAAATTAAGGTTTCACACTTTATATAAAGCTAAATTCAATCGGCAAATCTTAAGCTGAGATCACACGATTGCCGCAAATGCAAAGCAATCTGGAACAATTTGTATTGTGCTGTATTGGAACACAATCAAAAAAATTGTCCCAATCAAATTCTGTACAGTCACACGGTTGCCTCTTTTTATACAATTTTGATTGCCGCAAGTTGGCGAAAAGCAATATAGTGACAATAATTGTCCCAAACTTATCACACCATTGTTCGAGCATGCGGCAATGTGGGCTCATTTTATACATATTTGTTGTGGTTTGAAAGCAAAGAAGCATAAACTTGAGTGCAATGAAAGCTGACGCATTTATTTAGAAGTTTGTGTGTACAGTTTTTTTTTATTTTTCGACGATAACTGCAACGTACTATGTGGAGTTCAAGTTTGTTACGTAGAGATTTTTTTTATTAATTACAAGCAAAAATTGGTACAAAATAATTATGTTTGTATATTTAAATGAAAGTTGTGAATTTATATAATTTACGTTTGGAACGAGTTCTTGACTCTTTTCTTCTGTTTGTTTAATGTTAATTTTTTCCTATAAAAACATAGCTTGTTGTCTAGCAAAAACCACATAAATCCCAATTTCAAACTTTATACAAAAATTATAAACATTTCTTAAACTTTTGATCACAACTTCCAGGCTGATAGCAAATGAGTTGCATGTACGCAAGTTCAGATTCTCGTATGAAAGAAGCATTTCTTCTTTTAACATAGACATATCCGAAGACTGCTTTGATAGAGTAATGAGCCCATCTTT